GAGAGAGAGAGAGAGAGAGAGAGAGAGAGAGAGAGAGAGAGAGAGAGTCCTAACAGAAGATTCAATTTCACAACTCTCTCTCTCTCTCTCTTTGTGTGTCTCTATCGGTCTGTCTGCATATCTCCTTCTCACGCTCCCCCTCTCCCTTCTTGTTGCAGACCAGCAGCAGGTTGAAGCAGATTGAGAAAGAGTACAGTCAGAAGCTCGCCAAGTCTGCCCAGGTAATCATCAGTTCTCTTCTACCCCTCTTTCATTTTATATTCCTCTTTTTTTTCCACTGAACTGCTTGAAAGATTGGACAAATGCACTGATGGGAGAGGTGAGGAAGCACATACGTAAACACACACACACACACACACACAAGCGCTATTGAACACACGGCAAGCCACCCTGTGCCCTTTACCCTTCAGCAGATATGCACAATTGCACACACGTCCCATATCCGGCATGAGGTTTGTGCCGAGCTCGGATGAATACATCTACACATAAAACACAGGAGATAGTGTTGCATGAAGAATATCCAAAGCTCTGCTGTGTGTCTCTACTGCTCCTGTTCTGTCTTTCATGTGTCCAGACGTGTTAGAGGTGAAAAAGCTCTCCTTTGCAGCTCCCAACTGAATTTTATGAAGCCAGGACAAGTTGTCGGGTCTCATACCTGATGTGTTGGATGCTTCGATGGTACAGATGTTGCACTAATCAATACGTTTGTGTAACAGTGAATCGAGTACCTACATGTGATGTGATGGGGATCACTAGAGAGCTAGAAGGAGTGTAAATATTAGATTTACCACTGTCAGTTTACCACTGTTCATTGTTACATTTGTCCCCCGTCTGTTCACTTGCACCAGTATCCTCTTCCCCTCCATCCTCTCTCCCGGGCCTCTGATACCTCTTTACTCCATCTCTTCCTGGTGTCATGGCACCGTCCGGCCACACTTCCAACGGACGGCCTTAAGTTTAACATTACCGCCCGTCCCCTCAGACTGAGCCCATTTTAAAACTGAGGTCATTCTCCTCTTTCCAACCAGGAATATAACTTCCCAGGACACTCCGTCATTCAGCGAAATGTCTCCGAAAGTTCAGGCAGCTTTTACCTCGCCGGGTTTAAAAGATCCAAAACACCCTAAGTAGTGTTTACATTACGAAAGAAAAGGGTTTTCTTCTTGATTATGTAGCAGGGTAGGATATCGCAATCATTTGGCCGTAATTGCACCTCGTTACCCGAAGAGGAGATTCAAGACTGGGGGGGGGGGGGGGGTTGTTTTTCTTTCTTTCTTCTCCTCTCCCCCCATTTTGTGTTGGCTGGCAGCAAGGGCGCAGAGTTGAAAGCGGGGTTGACAAGCAGATGTTGTGAGAAACCGGTAGCTTATTAGGTTACACAATGCCTCCACTTCAAACGAAGTCGGATGCTGTGCGAAAGTTCAGTTGTGTTTGCCCGCTTCAGCGGCGGGTGCCGGTACGCCGCCGCAGACGCAGCAACAAGTGATTTAATCCTCTGTTTTGGGGACACAAAGCTGGCACTGGTTCAACAAACACTCTCTCTCTCTCTCTCTCTGACATAAAAGAGAAGTCTCTCAACACCTTCGCTGAAGCGTGTTGCTCTACACAGGGTTATGCTGAAGGTGTGTTTTTTTTTTTTTTTTTTTGTGCAAACACATTAATATGCGTGATTAATGCAGGCGATTTGTCGTGGGCTTTGTTTTAGAAGTTAAAGGTGGAACGAGGGGGGGGGGTGTTGACTACCCCTTGGGGCAACTCAGTCAAATGTAAACAAGAGGCCTTTGAACCTGAAAGGCTAACCCCAGTTGTTAACCCCTCGGTGTCTGACAGGGGGCATCGCTCTTGAGCTCAACTGCATGGCTAATAACCCAATTAAAAGCATACCGCGCCATACATTATCCTGAAGGGACCGGAGACACACCACGTACGGGCGTATGTTCACGTGCACGCATGCAAGCATGCCTTCCTCTTGCATGTTACAGCTTTGCTTCTGTCTCTTATTCTCTGTATGTTATCATTCTCACACACACACACACGTACAGTACGTACACAGACTCCTGATTAGTGTCTCTCCAATCCTGTGTGTTAAGCGTCTAGCTGTGAGTGGTCCTCCTGGGTGACCTGTGAACTGAACAGGGCTGTGCTCTCTTCCCCCCCAATTAATGACCAGGCTACAGTGGGTGGTAGCTGTGGTGCTGCTGGGAGATCATTACTTCATCCCTCACTATCTCGTCGTGGGAGTCGGTGGGAGGTGGAAGGGAATATGCCACGGGAGGCACAGTGCATGAGAAGTATCTCGTGGTGGAAGAAAGAGGTGGAGGTTCGCTCCGTATGCAAATGTGCCTCATTTATTCCAGCACTGGTTTGTCAAGTCCCACGAACCGTTCACATGTGACCTCATGTATGAACCACATAGGATCTGTTACAGTGTTTATTCCAGCGCAGGGATGAACCCACAGAGTCATCACTCCACAGCTCTCCTCCTCTCCTCCTTCACGGGGAGTTTTACTGTTCATCAGCGCCTTGTTTTGGTTTTTACGGTCTACAAATTTCCTCTTTTGGTTCACTCTCGCCGCTGTCATCGGTGTCGTTTTCAGTCAAAAAAGCCACCGGCCTCAAACCAAACAGCAGACAGACAAAGTGACCAAAGCAGCTGGTGAACATAGTGCAGCATGAAGCGGCTAAGGAGCCAGATATTCCCCTCAGGGGATGTTGGAGACCACAACAAAGCTATAGTTGAGGAGGGATTCTTGTCACTGTGAGCACACTATACAATCATGTTACCTTGTTTATGGCCGAGAATACGTGTTTGAAGGCTGTGACTATGATTTTATCAATCAATCAGCTATTCATTAATCAATTAAAAGTGTGTTTTAAAAAAGGAAAAATAACTTTACAATTGTTTTTATTTTATTTATTATTATTTTATTTACCTCTAGTTCATGGAGAGGTAAGCCTGCCTTTAGCCCCAACCAGAGATGCCAGTAGGCTTTGGGAAAAAGACAAGTCTCACCAGACCAATTACAGACTTGAAAAGGCCTGGCTGGCTATCATACAGAAAAAAAGGTGCTGTGGTGTGTTTGTGTACAGGAATAACAAGACAGACAGCGCAGTTCACGAGTTCAGAGTACCGCCACGGCCGGGGGCTGAAATGCAGGGAATCCATACTGTACAATAATTATTATGCCCAGAAATGATGTTCCCATAATCATGTGTCATTTGTTACTTTCATGTGGCTTTCCCACTGACAAAATAAGCCTTCTCTCTATCTATCTATCTATCTATCTATCTATCTATCTATCTCTCTGTGGTCGACCCGCACCACTCTTAACTCCCATACTCCCACACAAAGTGCAGATTCCAGCAGGGTTGGTCCTCCAGAGTTTGAACACGGTAAACAATTATCTGTCTAGCCCAAAGCAAGCAGCAGCACTGCCCCCACCACCACCACCTCTCTCTCCCTCCCTTTCCCTTTCTCTCCCTTCCTCTCTCTTTCACTTTCTCTCATCTTTCCTCTGCCTTTCCCTGACAGTGGCTTAAATAGAATGTTAATTTTGACTGGAGGATTTCAAAGCCGAGGCAGTTCCTTTTCATCTTGGTGTGCACCGCAAGTTCACCAACACAAAGTCGCTGCGCTCCTTAAAAAAGGAAGTTGTTTTTTCCTCTTCTCTCTCTCTTTCTCTCTGTCTCGTCTCAAAAAAGACACGAGTCATGAGAGTCTGAGAAAAAGCAGTGTTTCAAGGTGATTGTTATTGCCATCCAGTTCCCTTTTGTTTATCACACACTGTTAAATATAAACACACATGCACTAACAGTCAGGGATCCAGTTCCTTGCTCAAAGAGACTCCTTACTTGGTCCATGCAGGGACTTGAACTGGCAACCCTCTGGTTCCAAGCCAGGTCCCCACAGACTGAATCTATGCAGAGGAAAAACGGTCCCAAGACCAAATGTCCGCACTGACCAGTGGGTGAAACATTGTGCGGTCAGCTGTCCATCTGCTTATTTCCTGTCAATCTGTGACAAATTTAAGAATTCAAATCAAACATCCATTTTTTTTATTCCTGTCTCACCTGTAGCTCATTGCGGAGCTACAGACGTCTGTATGTGACTCAAAGGAGGAGGCTGTTCGTCTGCAGCAGGCCACGGAGAAGCAGTTGAAGGAGTGCAATGTTCTTTGGGACGAGGAGAGGAGGTCGACAACTCAACACGCAGACCGGACCAACAAGGTCGGTGTCGACCAATTAGGAGACTAATCACACTTCATCACACTTTAATCATTTCTTCTACGCTGAGAAACAAAATGGCTCTCAGTAGGTGTGGAGTCCAGAGCAATATTACTGCATTATCAGAGTTTGCCACGGTTCATTACAGCAGAGGCACTATACCCGAAATATAGACCACCGCTAAGGGTAGAAGACTTTCAGGAGATATAACGCCTCAGAAGCTGTATGGTTACAGTGCATGCCACGTAACCACCACGTCCCCCCTCTCTTATGTCGCCGGTCTTGCTTCTACACTTTTATCTGTTCAATAAAGACAAAAAAAGGCCCCCAAAAATAATCTTACAAGAGAAAATAACGAACGTTCAGGGCAAAAGGAGCAATGGTGCCAAACGGTAGCACACATCGCAAGGAGCGCTAATGTAACGAGTGAGGCATCTAGTGACTTGATTTATCACAAGGCATGTTGTGTGTCAGGATCTGATTGATCACAATCTATGCGATAACAAATCGGAGCAATACTTTACAATTTTGTGAAAGAAGAAATGCTTATCTGACTTTTTTACAAGTTGGGAAGAAACACAAAGTGGGTCACAATAAGGTGGGATGAGTGAGTAGAAATAATGAGTTTACATGAGTTGTTTGTTAGGTACGTGATCTATTATTGCTTCATTTTTCTCAATACTTGATACACTTTTTTTACTTCTGTACATATAAATACACCAACGCCACTATAATGGAGGGGATTAAAAACTGCACCAGCGGCAGAATCTGCACTATAGCTTTGGTCAATCTCCAAGATGTCTGCCCTTTCATCAGTTCCTCTTATCTCCCTTTCTCCTTGATCTCCGAGCAGTCTTATGTGCTCGCTGTCCTGTGTCAGTGGTCTCTGAAGTGTTCATCTGCAGAGGCCAACCTTTACACTTAGAGGGGGGGGGGGTCCATAAACTACATCCTCAACAAAGCCTTGTCTGGATTTGACTTTTATGGAGTAGACGCGGGTCGCTTTTCTTTTGTTAAAACACGGCCAGAGTTTGTATTCATTTTTATGGCTCGCTGCAAACTCCAGCGTGTCTTTAAGTGGCTTGTGTGCTCTTTGTCTGTCTGAACCTTTTAAATGTGTCTGCTGCACCCCACTTCTTCAGTCAGAGCCGCTCTATATCATTGCTGACATTCTCTTTCACAGTTTGAACTCAGTTTTTTTTCCCAGCATTCAACTTTTTTATTTCTCTCTTGTGTTTATTCTTTGAAACCTGTCCTAATTCAACTCCACATGTAATATTAGTTGATCAAATTTAGGTATGAGAGGAAGAATGTGTCATTGAGACACTATACAAGTACAATCTGTCAGTCGTTTAACATGCTAAAGGCAGTTAAAGAAACCGTAGTAAGCTACAAAACACTGCTGTCCTGTAACTGTCTTACGTACAGCGCAACACTTTTTTAAAATGGCGATAAAACAATAATTTGTTCATTTTTTCCCCCCGTTCTTTTCCCTGATCTTCATCCTTGTCCGTGCAGATTTCTCTTTTTGGACTCACGGGATCTTTTATTCTGCCTCTTGTCCCAGCTGGGACACGGTGGAAGTTGATTGGGTGTGGCTCACTAAATACAGAGTTGTTGTGTCTGGGATCCGCATCAGGACACGTTCCCAAACACAACCTTGTCTGTTTTACGGTTTGCAGCTGCCTCCTGTAGTAAGGAGGCCGATCTGTGAGCCTCCCTTTAGATCCTTGATTGTGAAATCTGTTCAGGGAGCGATCCTATTGCTGTGTTTAAGATCAAGCATATGAGCGGTCATCGCGGTGTTTTCACAGACGAAAGGGTCAAAAGCTGTTAAAACTGTTGTGCTTGTATCTGACGTTTGCACCAGTCAACTGGGGCTTTATCTAACATTATACATCATAACATGCGGCTGATTTGCAGTCTAATAATATGAATAATGCTTATAATCTTATTATCAAAGAAAATAAATATATAAATCAGAAGCATCTAAGTGCTGCGTAAACTTGTGTCGGGCACAGGCCTTGGCATCTGTGTCGGGAGCAGACAAAGGCTTTCTGTTTCCATTATCTGTGTCCTCATTATTACGATCCCCCACCCACCAACGACACCCCCAATTAATGGTTGAGTTGATTATTGAGAGCCAGACATGAGGGGATGAAGAGGATCAATAAGGGAGAGGAAGGTAAGATTGGTCAAACAGCAGAAAAAGAGACAGAAATAGAATAAATAGTTGGTGTGAACTTTGAAAGAAGAGGGAGAGGAGAAAGGCCACAATGAAGGGGAGGAAAGGAGGCGAGAGGGAGAACCAACAAAAGGATGGAGGAAGTGTGAGGATTGAGACAGCAAACAGAAGGACAAGAGAACAAAAAGAGAGGGTGAGAGAGAAGAAAGAAAGAAATGGCGGAGAGCTGTCAGTGGGTCATCGAGGGAGTGTGTCGCCTGCTGACATTGTTTCCATGCAGCTCACTTCAAAGGGCTCGGATTATGAAGAGAGCGAGGGGCTTCAGACAATGGGAGGGGAAGAAAATAACATCAAAGTTAGCCGCGCATTTGAATCGGGATAATCCCAAAACAGTTGTTCTGAATGCACGCTGCACCGGATCAGATGTCCCTTTTTTTTTTCACCATCGCAAGCCCCGTTCTGTCATTTCTCACTTAAATTTAGCTCCCTCTGTGGCTCTACTGTACTTGTGACTTCTTACAAGTGGGTGTAAACTGCACAGACCTTTGAATCTTGTAAAACCCCTTTTTTTAGAACAACGGTAGTACAGTTAAGTATGCTCATTATCTTGGGCTTTTTATATAAGTGACGTTTAGGGGGGAGTATTTTAGTGGTGTGTGTGTGTGTGTGTGTGTGTGTGTGTGTGTGTGTGTGTGTGTGTGTGTGTGTGTGTGTGTGTGTGTGTGCGCGCGCGCCTGCCCTTCTCACATTTAATAGGACATGGACTAAATATCAAAGTGTTTTGCAAACTGTTGCAGACGTGAAGTGCACAGGCTGGTTAGCGTGATGCCAACAAACACACTGCTGGGCACCAAGTAGCTTTGCTCTCTGATGTGAACTTCAAGCTCAATTAGATGTTATTTTACATATATTAACTTTGAAATAAATTGCTCTTTTTTAGGTGAAAGAGCTTCTTGCACTGTTGAACCCAGCTCTGCAGGTTTTAGCCACTTTTAGCTCAATGTTGTGGTTTTCTGGTTCGCACATAGATTGAAGGGTTGTGAGATTCAACCAGACATCAGAGGACTAGACATAAACACAGGAACAGGAAGTTGCAGTGTCACCCGTTTGGATAATAAGGAAAGAGAACCTGAGGTTACGTAAATTGCCCTTCCAATGTTTCCCCTCACCTTCTCCCTTTGTCACTCGTGAATGATGCCTCATATGGAGTCGTTATATTTAGGATACCAATTATCTCATAATGAGCAAGGCAGGAGTGGGCAGTTTGGAACCAGGCCGGGTGTCAGAGGACTGTGGAAGGTGAAAGCGAGATGAAAGCATTGTATTTGCTTTCATCTGTCCAGTCTATTCATATCAGGTAAGGGGAATGGGAACCAATATGGAGGAAGCCAGCGCAGCTCATTGGGACACTGCCAGGCGTCTGGGTGAGAGGATTATTCACTTCCTGATGTCATCTTGTTTCCCTACATATGGTATCTTGGTAATGTGTCTCCCCTTTGTGGATGGGTTTTCTTAACTTTGATGAGACGAGGGGAGGGCTGAGGTGAATGTGAAGTTTAATAGTGAGGTTATTGGGATTACTTTAGTACATGATGTGTGCACAGCCAGTGTTTTTGTGTGTGTGTGTGTGTGTGTGTGTGTGTGTGTGTGTGTGTGTGTGTG